ACATTATTAGTAGTAGTAGTAGAAGTAGTAGTAGTAATAGTAGTATCATTAACATTATTTTTACTATTATTATTATTATCATCATCATCAATATTAATTTTCACTATGATCATCATTAATTACTAGTACATTAATAGCACCGTCATCCCCAATAGCAAAAAGTCGTGCATCAGTTTAACAATAGCAGTAACATAATCCATTTTGTTAGTACAGGTAAAACAACAGGTATTGTTACACCGCTATTAGAAATTAGATATTAATTCCCGTCCAACTACACACAGGATAAAGTTCCCATTGGCCAGAGTGATGTGGGAAATGGACGAAACGAGGAGACAAATGAATAGTTAACGAGGGAATTAGATCATAGATGTGGGAATGTATCGTTCAGCTGTTGTCAATTATTTTATTTATTTTGGTTTTCGTTTATGATGTTTAGTTTAGTGTGTGTTGTTGTTGTTGTTGTTGTTGTTTTATATTGATCATTAGGTTAATTTACGTGGTTTGATAATAATAATGATAATAGTAATAATATAATAATAATAACAACAAGAATAATACTGATAATAACAACTACAACAACTACAACAATAATAATAATAATAATAATAATAATAATAATAATAATAATAATAATAATAATAACAAGTAAATAATTATCTAGTCAAATAATCAACCAATACCGAATTATTACACCAAAATTATATATACATTCATACACACATGGTTCAGATCCCCTATTGGCCAATCACCGCTCTTGTTTGGACCCACGCCGAAAACATCACCAATTTCCCTATTTACCTTCAGTAATAGAGAGGCCAATTAAGTAGGGTCGTTGGGGTACTGAATGGTGATTAGTCCCAGGCCTTTGGGGATTAGTTAAGACTGGCGATTTAAAAGCCAGGATTAATCAAACAATTGGGTGGTAGGAATTAATCCGACCACCTGTTATAACCCGTGTGAGGGATTTTATGGAGGGAGTTGGATTTATTTGACGGATTTATCAAGGAATCTTCATTAATCAGCGAGTTTAACTGTATATTTTTGTATTAATGAAAAGCTTAAATTATGACATCTAAATCCGTCAGGTGGATTTAACCCGATTAACTTTATTAAGAAATTTGCCACCATAATCGGGATTAATCAGTTATGTTAAATTCTACACTCTGAATAAGTGATTAATCTAGATTTTACAACTGGATTTAAGAGACATTCACCGTTTGGGATTTTACGGTTAATTAGATATGATGAAATTAATCCCCTAAATTTATTAAAGAAATCCGCGTTGTAACTATAATTAATCTGTAACTTTCAATTATCTTATCGTCGGTGTCTATTATTATTATTATTATTATTATTATTATTATTATTATTATTATTATTTTTATTATTATTATTATGTCATTTAATTTCTTCGTTTATTTATCTCTTGTCCAAGTTCCGCCTTTGGGCAATCGGTGGGCGGAGTCTCACTGTCTATTGTGGGCGGAGTCTCACTGTCTATTGGCTGGTGGGCAGGAGTGGGCGGAGCTTAGAACCACGCCTTGAGCACCAATAAGACAACTTGTGTTCGAACATCGTTAATATTTCAACCCACCAACTTCTCGTTACCAACTAAACACAACATGTACTCAGAATATTCTAGATTAAATAACTTTCGGAGTTAGGTGAGGCATTCGACCTTATTTCGCCAGCCAATCAGAGAACAAATAGGGATGATCTGCTCCGCCCCCACTGATACCCAGGGGAAAAGGGTCGTAAGTAGTGAGCTTGAAGTTTCGACCACGTTGTTTCGAAGCTTCAGAATGTTTCCTCTCTGATTATTGGTTAAAAGGAGCGCGGGATTAGCTAATCTGGTGTCGTAAAGTGATGATATACTTTACCCAATCACATCAAGGATCATATCACGAAAGGATTGAATTGTATAGATAACTAGATCAGTGAATGAATAGATAATTAAATAATAGAGTTGAGTCACTGAATCAGATGCTGTACTCATTTTGTTTCGGCTCTTGGGATAACATACAGTGTGAGAACTAACCTTACAATAAATCCCAGTTTATTCGTAAAGAAACACTAGACGAAACTGTCTCAAATGTCTTTGAACTTACGAGAATATTTTGTTTTGTGTTTATCTGTGTGTTTGTTTGTGAGATAATTTGTGATTAATTCACTACTGTGTTTGTTGTTTACTTGCCTATTAATGAGATTGTCTGTTATATATATATATATATATATATATATATATATATATATATATATATATATATATATATATATATATATATATATATATATATATATATATATATATATATGCACAGTCACAGAGAACATAAACCTGTTTGAGGTCACTTGGTCGCTGTGTTTTTCTGTGTCACTCTAAAATAGTTTTACATAATTCCCTAAACATCAAAAGTGAACAAATTCATTTGCGTTTTTTACATTTCCATCTCTATACTTTTTTTTTTAACATTTACAAATATATTTACTCTTTTATTAAGTTAGGTTAGGTTAAGATAGCTTAGGTCAGCAAAGGTTAGGTTAGGCTGGGTCATTGGGGTCAAAGGCTGGTTAAGTTCGAATTAATTACAAGTTTTCTGGTAATTGCTGAGTGACTGTAATCGACTACCACTAATGTAATTGAAATTGAAATCAATTACGTTCAAAGTGACATTATGATTGATTCAATATTACAATGAAAACGTTTTATTAAACCTTGTGTGTCTGTGCCGTATATTTATGACGCCAGTGGCTGATAGAGGGAGGCCGCCGCCGCTCTCTCTTTGGTACGGAAAAGCTCATTTTTGAGGCAGAATTTCGTAGAGTGATTGTAATCAAATAAATTGTTACTGTAACCCTATAACTGTCCGTGTGTGTTTCTGACAGGAAGGTTCACTTTACTACTGTGTGTTGGTATGTTGTTAGTGTTGCCTGTGTGTGTGTTGGTATGTTGTTAGTGTTGCCTGTGTGTGTGTTGGTATGTTGTTAGTGTTGCCTGTGTGTGTGTTGGTATGTTGTTAGTGTTGCCTGTGTGTGTGTTGGTATGTTGTTAGTGTTGCCTGTGTGTGTGTTGGTATGTTGTTAGTGTTGCCTGTGTGTGTGTTGGTATGTTGTTAGTGTTGCCTGTGTGTGTGTTGGTATGTTGTTAGTGTTGCCTGTGTGTGTGTTGCTCTGCTCTGACCCGTGACTCCCTGTTCCTTAGGTCGTCTTACCTCACCAAGAAACTCCTCAGTTTGATGTCTATAACGTTAACCGGGTTCTATCTGAGGCCGGGTTCTCCTAGGTTCTAGAGGCCGGATTCTCTTAGGTCCTACAGGCTGGGTTCTCTTAGGTCCTAGAGGCCGGGTTCCATCTGAGGCCGGGCTCTCAAAGGCCCGAGTTTACTCTTTTCGCAGTTAATTAATTACGCAGAAATGTCAACAAACTGACCAAATGACACGCGACCTGTCCCACCGTATAATGACAACAAGATAATTAAGGTAACAAGCATATTTCTCCCTCAAATGGCGGGAAACTTGAGATAGAACCTAAGGAGAACAACAAGAGAACCTGACCATCACCACCACCACCAGCAGCAGTACACCTCAACTATCAGGTACAAGTAAATGGTGACATAGAGTGGTCAGTGATTCTCCCTCTAATAGTGAGACAGTGGTTGATGATAATGCTGAAGAGTTACAAAATTTACGGTGTTATAGAGACCGAGTATAGCATATAGAAATTTTTTAATGTTTGGAATATAGAACTAGTCACAGAATCGTCCAGAACTTTTTATAAGACGAATTACAGAATGTTTTAACATGTCTTTAATACTCAATATAAATTATAGAAAATGTTCTGATATGGTATTTATTACAGTAAATGAAAAACACGCCGGTAATATATAAATACAAAATGCAAAATGTTCAACACGTGTCTAGATTCACAACAGATTACAACAATGTTCAATAAGCCTTTGATATGAACTGAACAATGGCCTCCTTGTTTGACGAGAGCTTTCATGAGTTACCAATACAGGAAATTTAAACTGTGCTATTTAAGCTAATCGTCGGTTTCCAACTAGACAAAAATTAGATTTGTATTTTTAGTTTTTTTCCCAGAAGAACAGAGAGACAGTGTGGACTTTGTTTAACTTTTTTTAGAACAAGTTAACATTATTAGCTTTTTTATACTTTTATTCTCCAAGAACGCTAGAAAAACGCTGTGTTAGCTTTTTATAGCTTACAGATTATTGCATTATACCCATTGGCACTGACCTATGATCATTAGCTGCCTCGCGAGCACTACCCCCCAAGGCGCTCTGTATGCCCCGGTTTTGTTTCCCGCCCAATGACAGCCACCATCATCTGTTGTGCGTCGTGGTGGAGAGGTATTAAGCAGAACCCACTCAAAGGTCCCACTCAAGGGGTGATACTCAAAGGTTCCATTTAAATGTCTTCCTGAAAGGGTCTTAATCACTTGCCTTATTCAGAAGTCACACTCAAAGATCTCGCTCAAAAATCTCTCTCGGGGTCCCACTCAAGGGTTCCACTCTCGTCAAACTATATCTCCCTCTATGGCATCAATCTGAATCCCAGTAACATGTTTGATTCTATTATCTTAATGGCCGCTAGAGTCACCGTTAAGGGCGTCTCACCTCCTGCGGGTTAGGAGGGAGTCGTCTAGCTAATGGGTAGCACCAGTTACTTAATGACTAGAACCACCATTAGGACGTTCATGTATTTTAGGTAAGAAGGTGAACACTTCTAGTATAATGTTTTGCTTATACGACGATGGAGATTCCTATTTTAATGATTCTATTCTGTTATCTAATGGGTAGAACACCTATTAGGGCGTTCTAGATAAGAGGGTGAGGGCGTTTAGGATCATCAAGGTCTCCCTGTCTACGTCTCACAACAGAGACTTGTAACTATAATGGTTGAGTCATAACTCTTAATGGCTAACAGTATCAGTACGTTCATTCATCCAACATTGTGACTAAAGGTGAAGAAGTGACTTACCTGTGCAGGTAGACACGGTGAGGAACGAGCAGAAGACCAGCATACACAGGTGGATCATCCTCCCTGTACCTGGTGTATCCCTCAACCACCACCACACTGACCTGAGTCCTCCTCCCTCCTCCTTTCTGCTATAGTCCTCACCGCTGGATGCCCCTACTAGCCTCCTGCTGCTGCCGCCCCTACACCTCCTGCTGAGTGGGTCCTCCATGCACCGCATATAGGAGACCCACCACCCGCGGCAGGAACAGACGGGCGCGGCGGTGGCGGTGGTAAGGGGCTCCTCCACAGGTGTGTTCAAATCACCGGCGAGGTGCCACGTGGTGAGACCGGCAGGGCGGGGACGGCGCTGGTGGCTGTGGTGGGCTACAGAACTGTTGGCTCGAGTCACTTGTGTTGGTGATGGCGAGGTTGTGGTGGTGAGGGAGGTGGTGTGGTGGCGGTGTGGTGGTCGTGGTGGTTGACGGAAGCCGAGAGACGACACCATTGTCTCTTTATCTGTCTCACTTGTCTCTCTGTTTATTTCTCTTTCTCAGTGTTTATTGTGTTGACTCTCACACGGGTACTGGAGGACCTACCAGCGGCTCCACCATTCTGACGCTGCTGCTGTCATCACCAGTGAACAGTTGTGTTCAGTGTTATTGTTCACTACAACCTTTCCACACAACCATTTATTATTAAGTTCTTCAGATGAACATGTTATTACGTCAGTCACATAGCTGTTGGTGTTGGATTACGAGCGACTGAAAGACGTCGTCAGTTAAAGGAAATGAATACACTTGTCTTGCCCCAAACAGCCCGACGGGGAGCAAATTAACTTAAACACAAAACATTAAGATAATATCAGCGGGTATCCAGGGGTCGTATAAGGGGGGGGGGGGGTTACCTGACTTTCCTCACTAAATAGAGTTAGATAATGAGTATCGGGAATCAGTCATTTACAAGCTGTAATTAATTCATTGTACCATTAAGTGAGTGTGGTAATGAGGTGGGGAGGGCAATTGAAGTCACTCAGGGGTAAAGTGGAGTTTATTTATACTTCTTTCAACATTACTTTATTGCCCTCCCCTCTTTCATCCCCTTCTCTCTCCCTCCCTCTTCCTCTCTCTCTTCCTCCCTCCTTCTCCCTCTCCACCATCTTTGTTATGAATGTTGTTTTGTTCCGATTTAATGGGTGTTGGTTTGTGCGTTACCATGGTGATGATAGAGATGAGTGATGGGGTGGTGATAGTGATAGTGGTGATGATGATGGAGTGGTGTGTAGTGATAATTGTTGATAGTGATGATGGTGATGGTGGTAGTGATGGTGATAGTATTGATTAATTTGATGGTGGTATTGATGGTGATAGTGATGATGGTGATGGTGGTGATGATGGTGATAGTGATGATGGTGATGGTGTGGTGGTGATGGTGATGGTGATGATGGTGATGGTGTTAGTGATGGTGATAGTGATGATGGTGATGGTGGTAGTGATGGTGATGGTAAAGATAGTGACGATGGTGATGGTGGTGACAACTGTTATTGTAAGTAGAATTAAGTACTAGAGTAGTGATTAGCGCTATAATTAAGGTTGTTACCTGATGTGATGCTACAGAGGTTGTTGTTGTTTAGTAGTAGTAGTAGTAGTAGTAGCAGAAGTAGTAGTAGTAGTATAGTAGTAGTAGTATAGTAGTAGAAGTAGTAGTAGTACTGTAGTTGTTGTTCCTGTTGTTGTTTAGTAGTAGTAGTAGTATAAAAATATAATCAGATTATATTAACATTTCACTTAACCAAAGATTTCAATTCTCAATATGATAGTCAACTCTATTACGCATTCATCAGCCATCGTACCCCCCCCCCCCCTGCCCTGCCACTGAAGGACAGACAGACATAGACAGACACTCAGAGAATATAAATCGTAATTGGAAATTGGATATCAATAACAGGCGGGGAATTTATGGTGACAGAGGGATAGAGAGAGAGAGGAAAAACGGTTTGGCAGGGAGTCCACATTATGAGTGATTTATATTGTGTATTTTTGTCTCGCTCGTCCTGTGAGAAAAAAATATAGAGGAAGTGATTTTTTTTTCTATATTGGGATTTTGTGTGTGTGGTGATTTTGGGTCATGTGATTTTATTGTTTTATTTTTTATTTAATTATTTTTTTTTAATGGAAGATAATATGGTTTTTATTTTTGTTTTTTAATGGGATTATTTTTTGTGGGTTTGTGTGTCATGTTATTTTTAATTAATAATGAAAGATATTGGGTTTTAATTTTGGGATTTTGATGTAATTAATAATAAAAATATTATTATTATTATTATTATTATTATTATTATTATTATTATTATTATTATTATTATTGTTATTATTATTATTATTATTATTATTATTATTATTATTATTATTAAATTTTGTTCTTTGTAAATTAAGATTAACAAGGAGGAAATATTTCTTATGACAGGACTTTATGAGTTTTTAATAACTTTATTTTAATAAGTGAATAAAATTACTGATGTTATTTTCTTGTATGTAATTTTTTTCTATAATATCATTTTTATTTTTCTTAAATAATGATATAAAAACGAGTTAATTTTCGAATTATCGGGATTATTATATTAGTTTTATTGCCTTTCACTTGTTTCCCTTTGTGTAAATAAAAGAGAAAAAAATAATTCCTCAATAATTGGGATTATTTTGTATTTTGGAAAACTATAAAAACCGAAAAATTATTGTTAAGTTTATATCGTAAATTATTTCAAAAAAAGTATTTTGTGATTATTTGGCATTTTAAAGGACGATGATTATAAAAAAATGAAGAATTATTAAATATTTTACATTTAATTTGAAAAATATAATCAAATATTAAATACAACTTTTATTAATCTACTTACGAATAATAATAATAATAATAATAATAATAATAATAATAATAATAATAATAATAATAATAATAATAATAATTCCCCCCAAAATTAATCATAAGTCAGTTTCTTTATAATCACTCACTGTCAAAGGCTTAAAGATATACGAGTGTCACTAAGGTCCAAAACTCATACAAGTCATGGGAATTTCGACACTCTGGGATAAAGGAGAGTGTCAGTCAGCACCCGGGTCATTAAAGTGCTAGAATTTCCCCGTCCAATACAATTTCCGAAGATTTAATTTATCCTGTGATTATATATTTATTTTGTCTTTGAATTAGGTGTAATTAGTGTGTTAAGGTCTAAATTGGGATTAATTGAATAACAAATAAAGATGGTAATTAATTAGCTTGGATACAGGTAATTAAATAGAGTGGTTCACCTTAACGATATCGGAATGTTGTTGTTCAGGTGATTTGTGTTACGTTTGGTTGGGTTAGGTTAATTTAGGGTAGTTAAGATTAGGTAAAGATACGTTAATTAGCTTTAATTGGTCTAATTTGGCTCTAAAAACAAACAAACAAATAAATATTAAACACAACCAACAAAAGCATAACTGACCCCAAATAATAACAACAACAATAATAATTACGATAATAATAATAATAAAAATAATAATAATAATAATAATAATAATAACAATAATAATAATAATAATAATAACAATAATAATAACAATAATAATAATAATAATAATAATACCATCAACTCACTATTATTATTATTCACACTTTAGAAAATTGAATAACAAAACATAAACACCATTCCCATCATATCCTTCATTCATACGCCATTCACGACCGCTGCCTGAAAACCCCAATTGAGCGTAACGGGCGTATATGAAGAGGTAAAATGAATAATGCGTAATAATGCGTATGGGACAGATAGAAGAGGAGAGACTAGGAGAACGTGATGATAGTAAGGTTTAGATAGAGACGATGATGGTGGAATATATACAAATAAATAAAAATAGCGTAAAGAGGAAGGGAAGGAGAGCCGATAAAACACCCGAGGTTCGATAATTAGTTTGCCTTTTATCCGATTTTATGCATTGCCAATATCGGGTTGATTAGGTTAGTTAGGCCTGTGAGATCGGCTGGTCTGATGTTGTTTCTTGCCGATATTGGCTGGATTACGATTTTTTTTGTTTACGCTGCGATATCGGGTGGTCTGATGTCAATGACAATATTTACCGCCGATATCGGGTTCATTATGTCTTTTTCTTTACGTCTATGATATCGGTGAAGGTGATGTCTATTATTCGGTATTAAATCGGTAGCTATATCACTAGCCGATATCTAGTCGGAGTTTAATTACGATAGTTTCCAGCTGTGATATCTGTTGTACTGTTATCTCAAGCCGATAACCAATTGGAAGTGTATTACGGAAATTTTATTTTGCGATATCGGTTGAAATTTGACTGCCGACAACAATACCATGAGCCGATAATTTAGTTAAAGATTGTGAGATTTTCTACCTTTGATATCGGTTGATCTTAAGCCGATTATAACAGTTTTCGCTCGTGATATCGGCTAATACGTTACCGATTACAGCGATCTGAACACCTGTAAAGATATCTCTGATCATTACAGGCGATATCAAGTTATTTTTAGACCAGTTACAAAATTTTTAAATGATATCGGTTTATTTCATGTTGATTATTGAGATCTCAAATCGCGTACCATTTCACAAACCGATTTTTCGCCAACGATATCGGGCGATTTAAAGTCCATTACAAGAATTTTTATAAAAACTATCGGCTGTACTCTCTCTCTCTCTCTCTCTCTCTCTCTCTCTCTCTCTCTCTCTCTCTTTCCACTTATGGGAGGGAAAGGAAGGGGAGGAGTGTCCCTTTCCCCAGAGAGACAGGGGAAACTAACGAAGCCAGTTTATGGAAGGGGGAGGAGGGAGGGGAAGGTAGAAGGAAGAGGGGAAAGGAGAGAGAGAGGGGGTGAAGGGAGAGGGAAGAGAGGAATGGGGAGAGAGAAGGGGAAAAGAGAGAGAGGATGGGAAGGAAGGTGAAAGAGAGGAAGGAAGGGAAGAGGGTAAGAGAGAGGGAGGCATGTAGGAAGGGAAATAGGGAAGGAAAAAGAAATAGGTAGAAGGAAAGAGGGAGGGATGCAGGGCGGAAAGAAGAGGGTGGGGGAGAAAGAGGTGATATAGTGAAGGAGGAAGGGAGGGAAAGTGGAAGGGAGAAAGGGAGGTAGGGAGGGTAAACCTTTCTCACCACCTCTACAACATGGCAGTTTAAGGGTGAAGGGTGACGTGGCTTTGATACCTTCGTCCTTCTCCTCATTTCCTGTGTCGCTTTTACCTGGTTCGTACACACACACACACACACACACACACACACACACACACACACCTGTCCTCAATAAGTTATATATCCCCTTTATATATTCTATATTTCCCGTATACACTCTATATTCTCCCTTAAAAGACTATATTCCCCCTAAACTTCTCTCCACATGAGCTATATTTCGCCTCATAATTGATTTATTTACTGTAGATACGATTATATAGACGCCTCATAATATATCTCCCGTTATATCCTTTCTGTCTCCCCTTCATATGCTCCTTTATGCCTCCCTATGCTCCTTTATGCCTCTCTATGCTCCCTCAGATGCCTCCTGTATGAGCGTGGTGGTAGTGGTATGTTAAGCAGTAATATTCAATACACGTCGGGTGTGTCAACGTCACCGTGTAATATTGTGAGAGGGATGATGAGTGAGTGGGAGTGGTATGGAGTGGGTGGGGTGGGGAGGGAGTGATGTGGAGTGAGGTGGGGAGAGTGGTGTGGAGTTAGGGGGAGGGGTGATGAGTGAGTGGGAATGGGAG